GGGGGGACCTTGGCCACAGGGTTGAGTCTAAAGTGTGGGGTTGGTCCTTCCCGCTGTGGGCAGGGCTCTCAGGGGCAGGAGGAGGGGCTGAGCCCACGGCGTGGACCATAGGTTGGGGTCTAGGGGCCAGGAAGGCTGGAGGTGGGGCCTGGACTATGGGGATGGGCCTCTTTGAAGTGGGCAGGGCTCTGGTGCAGGGCCTAGACTGTTGGTGGGGCGGAAGGAGGGGTATAGAGGGCAGGGCAGAGCTGGGGGGTCAAGGGGAGGGGCTGGGGTGGGGCCTGGACCATGGGGACAGGGCCTTGGGGCCTGTGTCTGGCCCATCCGTCTGTCTGACAGACTGTCCCGCCCCGGCAGAGAAGTACATGGAGTTCGACCTCAACTCAGATGGGGAAATCGGTGAGGCCCCCCCATGCCCGTCTGGCCATACACCCGCTTTGCTGGGGCGGGGGGCGGTGGATTGTCCATCTCCCTGTCCACCCCCTACCCCCCACTTGTTGTATGTGGGGGCATTGGTGTCCATCTGTCTGTCAGGGTATGTCTCTGTGCACCTGACCTCCAGCCCCTGGCCCTTCACCCCTGACTTTAGATGCCTGGCCGTCTTCAAGCCTGACTCTTGACACGCTGCCCAGTGCGCCACCCCTACTTGGACCCTTGATCCCTGACCTTCAGTTTGCTACCCCTGACCTTTGACCCCTGACCTTTGACCCCTGACCTTTGATACCCAATTCACCACCCCTGACCCAAACCTGGATTCCAAATCCCTGACCCCCGTACTTTGATGCCTGACCCGCTGACCCTCGACCCCTGAGCTGGGGTGCCTGAGGCCCCCACCTGTAATCCCAGCCCTTGTCACCCCTAACCTCTGATCTTTAATCCCTGACTGCCTGATCCTTGACACACAACCCCTGACATCTGAACCTTGACCCCTCACCCCCCCCCATGGGTCCTTGATCTTTTGACCACCAACCCCTGCAACTTTGTACCCTGACCCCTGGAACCTTGGCCGTCCACCCCTTGGCATCTGACCTCTGACCCTTGACCCCTACAGACCTGATGTCACTCAAACAGATGCTGGAGAAGCTCGGGGTGGCCAAGACCCACCTGGAGCTGAAGCGGCTCCTGCACAAGGCCACGGGAGGCACCAGCGACACCATCAGCTACCGCAGCTTCGTGCAGCTGCTGCTGGGCCCGCAGTCCGACATCCGCGACCTGTGCGTGCCCACCCCCTCCAGCCTCTCGTGCCCCTGCCCGCCCCCCAGTGCCCCTGACTCCCTGGTGCCCCTCACTCCCAACCCGCAGCCCCTGCCCCCCCAGCCCTGGTGGTGCCCCTTCCTTCCAACCCCCAGCCCTGCCAGGGCCCCTCACTCCTCACCTGCTCTCTCCACAGGATTCTCCTGTTCGAGAGCAAGGCCAAGGAGCAGGAGCCCCCGCCACCCGGGCCCCCCCGCAAGAGGGACATCACCGAGCTCCCCTAGCCTCGCTCCCAACCTGCGGGAGGACACGAAGTGGCGCTGATCCTGCAAAGGATGCTGGGAGGGGGGGCAGGGGGAGGAGGTTCCCCCTCCTTGGTGAAGGAGGTTGGAGAGGTGAAAGGTCAGACCTCATGTGCTCAGCCATGTTAATAAAGGCCATTTAAGGACGCTGCTGTTGGGTGGTGTTGTCTATGGGGGGAGGCTAGATCGTGGACCTGCTCCTAGCCAGACAGGGCCTCCCATGGGCTTGCAAGGCTCTGATTGGCTGAGAAGTGGGGCCTTGGCCTGGGGGGGGGTTCTGAGGTGGAATAGTTCATTGAGGGCTGGAGGGGAGGTACAGTTGGGACAGTCCAATCCTCCCATGGGCCAGTCCAACTGGCAACACCTCCTTCTCCTGTGTAATGGGCCAGTCCATTTTACAGGGTGGGGGTGCCCAGGGGTCGGCAAAATACCGCCCGCGGGCCAAATCTAGCCCGTGGAGGGACTTTGGTCCCCCAGTCTCGCCTGGCCCAGGCACCATCCAGCCTGTGGCGCGTGTCCCACTACCCCATCCTGGCCATGCCCTGGCTGGAGCAAGCCAGCTGCAGGCAGCCCACCACATCTGGGCAGTGCGGACATGGGCTTCGGGGTTGGGGGCAGCTGCAGGGGTGGGGAGGCATGGGCCGGCCCAAATAATTTCCCCCCCTGCACTGGCCCATGGGCGATTTGGGATGTTCCATTACACAGGGGAGGGGGGTGTTGGCAGTTGGACTAGCCCATGGGAGGTTTGGGATGCTCCATTACATAGAGGAGTGGGGTGTTGGCAGCTGGGCTGGACTATGGGAAGCTTGGGATGTTCCATTACATAGGGGAGAGAGGTGTTGGCAGTTGGGCTAGCCCATGGGAGGTTTGGGATGTTCCATTACACAGGGGAGGGGGGTGTTGGCTGCTGGGCTGGACCATGGGAACCTTGAGATGTTCTATTACATAGAGGACAGGGATGTTGACAGTTGGGCTAGCCAATGGGAGGTTTGGGATGTTCCATTACATAGAGGAGGGGGATGTTGGCAGTTGCATTAGCCCCTGGGAGGGCTGGAATATGCCATTGCACAAGGGTAGGTGGTTGCTTGGATTTGGACTGGCCCATTATAGTGGGAGGGTTGGGATGTGACATTAGGAAGAGAGGCAGCTGCTTTCACTGAGACTGGCCCATTGAAGTGTACAGTTGGAGTGTTCCAGTGTAGAAGGTGAGAGGGGGGGCAGAATTCCAGGTTCAACAGCCCATTATAGAGCTGAGCAGGGTAGACAATCCCCTGTTATAGCAGGCAAGTATGGAGAAACATCATCCTGTTATTGAACAGGGTGGTCCCCAAATGGAATGGCCCATTATAAGCACATGATGTTGGGGAAGATAGCCAGATAGTAGAATATCCCATGGCGGGGGGGGGGGGGGGAGCACTATTCCACCACAAGGAGAGGGGTACCTGGGTGTGCAATGACCTAGCCATGGGCACTTGGAACCTCCCATTTTAATGCACTAAATGGGGGTATCCCTTGGTGGAATGGTCCATTGCAGTAGTTAGAGAAGTTCCCATCTGGGGTGGGGGGGGGGAAAGACAGAGAGAGAGAGAGAGAGAGAGAGAGAGAGAGACTATCCTTGCTGGAATGATCCATTATTGGTGTAGGGGAGGCTGGAACAGCCCAAAATGTGGAGCACTCCATTACAGCAGGTGAGATTGGCATGGCTCATTTGAACAGTTTGAGGGGGGTGTCAACTGGTGGACTGACCCATTATGAGAAGAGGAGGGTGTATAATGGCATAAGAGGGGGTATTTATATATCATGCAGATAATAAATTATAATATATAGTATATATATAATATTTATTTAAAATATGTTATGATATATAATAATAAAATGAAAATAGCACATACCATGTATGTCTATGTATATATGTGCATGTGTTTATGTACATGCTTGTGTGTGTGTGTGTGTGTGTGTGTGTGTGTGTGTGTATGCATACATATGTAGAGAGAGATACTAGCGAATTGCCCTTCAAGAATAACAGGAGATGGGGTGGGGAGCGGGCTGGGAGGGAGCGCTGCCACCTCCCACCCTGCACCACCACTGCCTCTTGGGAGTGGGGAGGAAAGCTTGCCTCGCCGTCCCCTCCGTCCCCCTACGCCAGCACCCCACACCACCTCCACCTTCAGTGCCACTGGTCTCCCCCCTCCCCCCCGCCCTCATCCTCAGAGGTGGCAGAGCACCACCATGATGGCAGGGATGAACTGGGGGGAAAGAGGCCAGTGCTGCTGGCTTTACCACCACACTCTGTCCCCTCTATCCCCGCTGTCATGGCAACTTTTTGCACTCTGATTGGTTGTTTCACTAACCAGTCAAAGTGCTCCAAGAGCATTACAGACAGACAGACAGACTAAGCCCTTTATTATATAACAGTGGTTCTCAAACTTTTTTTTTTTGCGGACCACTTGGAAATTGCTGAGAGTCTCGGTGGATCACTTAATAAACTTTTTATTTGTTTTAAATATCAAAGCACACAATTCATATTTTAGTATCAGTATTCTAACCTTACAAGTAAAGATATTCTGGATTGTTCCGCAACCTCTTACTGCGGACCACCTGAATGGAACTTGTGAATGAGGGGTGGTCCATGGACCACCGTTTCAGAACCTCTGTTATATATAGAGAGAAATATATATGTGTGTGTGTGTGTGTGTGTGAATCTATTTATATCTCATGCAGATAATAGATTATAACATATAGTATTATAACAATAGTATAGTATAGTATAATAGTAATATATGATAGCAATAGTAAATATAATAGTGTTGGCTACAAATGTCCAACTTGGGATCCTTAAAATTCTGGTTTATTAGGCAGATTGAAACACTGTAATGAGTTAAATCATAAACCTTGGGGCTGGTCCCCATACACACACACACATGCACACACATGCACACACACAGTAGCAGGCTACAGAGTCAGGTATACCTATCTTACAAGTGCTGGAGCCTGTCGTTGAGGCTTCTTTCAGGGTGGTGTTATCTTCCAGAAGGAGGTCGCCAGCTGGTCCTTCTGGCTGGACAGGTCTGGTCGAGTTGGAGATCGAGATCAAGAGGGCGCCACTGAGGGTCACTTTTCACTGCCTTTTATCTGTCCCTGGCAGACTTTGGTCACTCCCCAGTTTTCAGGTTTGCCCAATCCAGGGGTCGTTGACCCTCGTGGGACTTCGGTGTTGATTAACTCAGGCCAGGGCTTCTAGCTCTTGATCAGTGACCTTTAGAGATTTCCCGGTTGTTACACTGTCTTCTATTGAGTTCTTCCGTTGGCTGATCTGCAGCTTCCAGGTGTTAATTGCTGTGTGCTACCTTGTTACACATTCAGTCACGTTACACATTCAGTCACTGATTCACTCGCTCTTTCAGAGGCCAGCCTGATACAGGGAAGGGCAGTTTGATTCCTGCCCTTGTTAACATTGTTACAATGTATAACTTACTTATGAAACTAAACACATTTAGTTGAAAGTTGAAAGGTGAGGAGTATAAAATATAAGCTACAAATGCCATGGCACACAAATAGATAAAAATACCAAACTACAAGGGGAGATACAAAATGCACACATACAAATTTTAAAACACAATTCCTTATCTTAAAGTGAAAGAGAGAGGATGGAAGAAAAGGTAGAAGAGGAAAAACATATCCAAAGAGGGGAGAGCAAATGCAGGCAAGAGGAAAAGGGGGCTTTCTGCTACAATAGTAGTATAGCTTTATAATAATAGATTATATATAGGGGGGGTGACTCATATAATATGACATAATAGGAGAGACTGGATTATGCATTTGCCTCCTCCACATCCTAGTTTTCCTGCTACAAGGCCCCACCTCTTTTACATAAATATATAAAGAGTAATTTCAAATACCAGGCTGTATCTCATTAGCATAATTTAGGCATCACATAGAGAAAGCAGACTCTAAAAGTTGCCCCTCCTCCGTAATCAGGCCTATCGGTCCCAATTTGCATTGCACGTATTTTGCCCCTCTCTTGGCATAAATTATGCAATGAGTTTCTGAAAAATCAGGCTGTGGCTCGTTTGCATAATTTATGCGTAGAGGAGAGAAAGCAGAAGGAACCTTTATTTTAAATGATGGCCCCATCCTCGCCTTAAGTGTGCACTCACATAAGGCAGAGGATCCCTCATTTGCATGCCGTTGAAGGTTTTTGCATAAATTATGTAGATTACAGGTGGTTCTTGTTTATGGGCAAGCTGCCCCCCCACCCCAGGACACCCATGTAGGACATACATGGTATGTATTTGCGTATCATTTCTTTGCATAAAAATATGCCAAGCACTCCTCTGGCCTGCGGCTAAGCTCCTCCCCTTTGCATCATATTCCCATAAATTATGCAAAGTATTGATATGCATTGTTATATTTATATTATATTTATATATTTCTATGTTTAACTTATGCATGATGTAATAACTTAAAGTCTAATTTTTGTATTGTAATCATGCACTCAGGACACAGTCCCGCCCTTCTCGTTTGCCTAAGTTATGCACATCAGAAACCGCTTAAAAGCCACGCTCCTCGTGGGGAAGGAAGCCCCGCCCCTTTTGCATAGATTACGCAAATCAGGACGGAGCTCGAAGGCTGCTTGCGCCCCGCCCCCTCCTTGCAGGCATTATGCAAATCCCCGGCGCGCTCCCCACAGCCCGGGCCAGCGGGAAGCCCCGCCCCCGACGCAGCG